ACTCTTCTTTTCTCGATAATTCATATATTTTTTATCCGTGTATGAATAGTTATCTCTCGAACATAGATTAAAATTCAACTTTAACAAAAAAATAAAATGAACCATCTAACAATGTATTTTAGTATATCAAAAATTACAGAATCACTCATTTTATTATGAGGTGACGAAAAAATTGTATAATTCAAACTTTTTAAAAAAATTTAAAGAAAGTTGTAAATAATGTGATTTTTTTTAAAAAAATCTTATTTCCTAAAAGGAAGAATGTGAATTTTTTTTTTTCTTTTTACAATAATTAAGAAATTGAATCTAACTATAAGAATGCTTGGTTAATAACTAACTTATTTATTGGTCTATAATCCTCTCAATCACTAATGTTACTAATCAGTATAACGAAACGTGTTTATTTATCTATTTCTTGATTCGAAATAATGTTTGAAAAAATATCTTAAAGTGTTCATAATCAAATTAAAAAGGTATCTTAATGTCAATTTTTTCTTTCCATTCGAGTTATATACAAAATAATAAGGAAGATAAGAGAACAAAATTTGAAAAAATACAATGCATTCGGAAATAATAAATAGCTTCCAAAAAAGAATATATCGATTCTCTCTAAATTAGTTGGATTATAAGTACGATGGTGCTAACTAATTCAATTTCTTTAACTGAGAAGATTTATAGTTTGAATTCGTATAATTCTACCTATTCTTCATAGATTCGCCTATACAAGGCGCAATTAAAGTTGCAAGAATAAAAGCTTAATTGCCACTTGAAATAGAATGAAATATAACATAACATAAAATATTATAATTTTAAGTACCATCATGTTACATTAAAATAAAAAATAATAATTCAAAGTTAAATAGAGGGTCATATTATATTATTAATTAATTAAGTTGTGTTGGGTTGGGCTGGCTAAGCTAACATATTTAATATGACTCAACTATATGAATAGAAAATTGTGGGCCGCCTCTGACAATCAACTCCAAGATTTGTACTTCTTCTTCAGCAAATTTGCATGGTTTCTATGCGTACTCAATTTTTAAGCGTAACCAATTTCTAGGGCTAATGAAGAACAATACGATGATACTGTCAACTGGGTCTACGGATAGAAGAGGTATTAATTAATCAATTGCCCCACGGTCTTCTCATTAATTATTTCTCCTTAATATAAAATTTTCCGAGAGAGAATTTATCTCTGGGGGATAAATTCTCCAAGAGAGAAAGAGGATACGTTAGAGGGAATTCCCTCAAAGAGAATTCTCTTATCTAAATTCTTTCTCCCCAAAATCAAATTTTAAAGAGAAATTAATATTTTCTGTTTTTTATTTTTTAATATTACAAAAATATTTTTCTCGAATTACAATTTTCTGTTTCGTATTTTTATTGCTACAAATTATTCGTTTTTTTTTTCAAATTAATAATTTCGGTTTTTTGCTCCAAACAAAAAAAACAATTATTTATTCACCAAAAGATTATCTATTTTTCCTCAATCTTTTTTCTTGTATTTTGTCTCAAACAGAAAAATTTCACTTTTTTTCGCAAATTAATATTATTTTTTTCCATTTTAAACAGAAAAAAAAATTGTTTATTCATAGAAAAAAATCTCTATTTTTCTTCGAATTTCTTTTTGTTTTGTTTTGTTTTGTTCCAAACAGAAAACAATTGTTTATTCCTCCAAAAATTATCCATTTTCTCTTTTTCATTTATTGAAAACCCATAATAATGGTGTGTGTATATATATATATAATTGATATTCAGCTAGAAAGCACATCAAATTAAATGGAAAGCAAATTCAATGAAAGATTCATTTTAGAAAATTATATAGGAACAATATAAAATAATGCAAGAATAAGAAACTTGATTTGGAAGCATGAGACAAATTAAATGGATGTCGCTCCTTATGAAGCAATAATTGACTTTCATTAAAGGTATTTACTTTTCATTAAAAGTCTAAAAAGTGCTACATTTTTTTTTTTCTAAGTGCTCTTGAATTGGAGGACAATTACTTCATCGAAGCAAAGGCCTTTTCAAGAGGTGATATGGGACATTGTTGCGTTGTTGATTAAGAAAGTCTCATGTTTTCTTACATCGTTGACCAATAAAGTACCAAAAAAAATAAGGAGAAAATTAGAGTTAAAGAGAAAAAATACCTCACTAAAGTTGAGTACGATGACGAATAAAAGTCCTACATTTTTCATATTGATCAATAAAAGACTACAAATAATAATGAGAAAAACAAGAGTTGCAAAAAGAAAACACCTTAATAAGGCTAAGTGCGACAACATGGGGGGGGGAGGAAAGACCTCATCGACGACAAAAGTCCCACATTCTCTAGCTAAATTGACTGAAAAAAGATAAAAAAAAAATATGGGGGAGAGAAGGGAAAGCCATAAACATACGATGTTAGTCTCGTTTGAACAACTATATGTGAGTATATAAATAAATTTGAATCGATTTATATTAATTAATTTTTGTGTCACGTTGTGTGTTATATAACATTTAACATAATATCTAATTGCATGATAATTAATAAAAAAGCGTCGTGTGTTTTTAAATACATAATCTCTAATATTATTAACAGAGTTAAATGTAGTAATTAAATTAGCAAATTTTTAAAAGATTTAATTTGATTGAAAATTGAGGAATGAGATCATATGATCAAAAATTAAAGTAAAACTTAATTTAAACAAGAATTAAAAGTATATGAATTAATTTATTATTTTTATCACACTTATATATATATATATATTAAATATCTAATAACATTTAACGTGATATCCGATTATATAGCGATGAATAAAAATATGTTATGTTTTATTCGATTTAACAAGCGGTATAATATTTAACGCTGTTAACTATGAATTAAAAGAGCAATTAAATTAGAAAATTTTTAAATTCAAAATTAAGAAAGAGAATAATTTAATAAAAATTAAAAGCACAAAAATCAATTTATTATTTTTGGCACGTTTATCCCGTCATATAATTCTGTTTTTGAACAAAAAAACAAAAGAAAATTTTGAATAGGTAGGGAATAGCTGGACATGAACAGTTCACCCAAGCGTAAAACTGGACAGGCGTACACTCAAAAAATATCTTCGCCACGTGGAGAGATTCCATTGGTCTGTCAGTTACTGCAGTGACTAAGCATGACGTCTTTTTCCCTCCCCCGCCCCCCGGTCCGCGTACTCACAGCCGTACGTACCACGGTGTATAAAATCCGTACAACTCTAATTTACCATTTCTTTTTATTTTATTCCCTAATTTAATTTCAACACTTTTTTAATATCAAAACTTACGGATTTAACTTGGACTATATTTTTTTATGGGTATTTTTTATTTAAAAATTATTAATAATATAATGGTAAAATAATAATAATTAAGCAAATAAGCCCAAGTAATTAATTATAATTATGTCACTGATTAATTGCTGGCATTCCCAGGTCCCACACCTGTCTGATTGGCCACATTTTGCCCATTTAACACACACACACACGAAAGACATGAAACTCCACATCCCCCTCCCTTCTCTCTTTCCAATAAACTTTACCAAAACCCACCACCTTTTTAATTATTTATCCTTTTAAAAATAAATGAAATAATTATGGCACACATCTCCATGCATTATAATTAAATTATTTTTAGCATTTTAAATTTCCTCCAAAAGAAGAAAGAAGAAAGAAGAAACCTTTTATTTATTGTCTCTTGGCTCGTGGGTTCCGGACATTTTAGTACTCTCCAGCTGGCACGTCACCTAATTCCCCTCTCCCATCCATTCTTACTCGCCCAATATTCATTGCACGGCCAAGCTCATCCGCCACGTGGCTGACTGTTGCAGCGAGTAGTGTGATTTTTATACACTCGGAGAGTATGGGTAAGTAAAAAGATTGTCCTCCTTTTAACTCATACCGCCAGTGACAACTGGCAGGCCTCGGTTAAATAGCTGTATATTCCACGTGGCTTACTTTTATTCGTGAAAATGTTCCCCCGATTCTTTTGTGAGCCCCACCCAATCTGGTATAGTAACGGCTATATCTCGTTTTATTTGAAGTTTAATCTCATCCATTTTGTGTGTGTTTGGAATCGGACGTGGAATAAATCCTACGTGGAATAGGAATTAGGGTGACCTGGACAGAGACCAGAGTGGCTATAAAAGGTTGTCTTCCACCTACAGTCTACAGAGCAGAGCAGAGCAGAGCAAAGCAGGAGCATTTCTTGTTTTCTCTCTTTTAAAAGTTTTAAACATCATGGCTGGTTTCTTTCTTCTGGGTTTGTTGATGGGTGTTCTAATGGTGGGTTCGGTGATTTCAGCAAAGTTTGATGAGCTTTTCCAGTCAAACTGGGCTTTGGATCATATCACGTATGAAGGAGAAGTTCTCAAGCTTAAACTTGATAACTACTCTGGTAAATAAACAATTTCTTCACGATTTCATTTTGTTCTTGAGATTTTCCTGTGTTTATCTCATCTCATTAATGGTGATTTTCAGGTGCTGGGTTTCAATCCAAAAGCAAGTACTTGTTTGGGAAGGTTTCCATTCAGATTAAGCTCGTGGAAGGTGACTCTGCTGGAACTGTCACTGCTTTCTATGTGAGTACTCTGTTCATATTTTTTCATTAATAAATTAACACTTGGATTAATCTGCTATTTCATCTTAGTTCGTGCTGTCATTTCTTTTCGAACTCGATAAATTTTCTTGCATTTACCGTCGTTGTCCACCATGCCTGTGAATCACCCAAAAAAGCTATGATCTTTAATGCTATTAACAGTGATGGGTCTGTCAAAGTCTGACGGTGGTCATCAATTAGATTACTTTTTTACTTTATTTTTTTAATGGGTTTATGTTTTTTTTTTCTTTAGCATTTTTTTGTTAATCCATGTTTAAATAAAACACAGATGTCATCAGATGGGCCAAATCACAACGAGTTTGATTTCGAATTCCTGGGGAACACCACAGGTGAACCCTACCTGGTTCAAACCAATATATACGTGAATGGTGGAGGTAATAGGGAGCAAAGAATGAATCTCTGGTTCGACCCTACTACGGATTTCCATACTTACTCACTTCTTTGGAACCAGCACCAAGTTGTGTAAGCACTTCTTTCATCTTCATATTCATCACCCAGATTATATATTTGAAATTTATTAAATAATCATGATGTGGGTATATATATATATTTGTTCAGATTTATAATAGATGAGACACCGATCAGAGTGCACAGCAACATGGAACACAAAGGAATTCCATTTCCCAAGGACCAAGCCATGGGAGTTTACAGCTCAATCTGGAACGCAGATGACTGGGCCACACAAGGAGGTCGGGTCAAGACCGACTGGACCCATGCGCCCTTCGTCGCAACCTACAGAGGGTTCGAGATCGATGCCTGCGAGTGCCCTGTAACGATGGCGGCAACTGAGAAATGCAGCAGCAATGGGGACAAAAGATACTGGTGGGACGAGCCTACTCTTTCGGAACTCAGTCTTCACCAGAGCCACCAGCTGCTGTGGGTTCGAGCCAATCACATGGTGTACGATTACTGCTCCGACACTGCCAGGTTCCCGGCCACACCTGAGGAGTGCCTGCACCATCGTCACTAGGAATCATACATATATATATATGTATCATCGTCATGTAAAAAAACATGTGCTCCATGTTTGTTCTTTTTGTAGTTGAAGATTCTGTAAGATAGATTACTTAATTTGAGGTTTCAGTTCTTTATATCGCACCCGTGACCCTATATATATAATGTAATATATTCACTAACATATCATGGACATATATAATATAATGCATCAATTCCTATTTCTTACTGGGTAGGTGATATTTCCAACACTCTGCATGGATTCTGATTAAGAATGTGATAGATGACTTGTCAATACTGAATGGAGATGATGGAAGAACGAGAAAATGCATGCATAAAATAAATATATATACATGTAAACAAATAGTGCTTGATGATGTGATTAATTATATGTTACTTACATATTTAGCCAAAAAAATTATATATTATTTAAATGTTTGTATAAAATTAAATTAATTAAATTGGTGGAGAAAATATATGCATTTTTATGTAATAATTAATATGTATTTTTATAAAATAATTATATATATATTCTTGAGTTTATATTATAAAATAATTAAATTTATTATCCAAGACAAAATCTGAATTTTTTCTGCTGATTCTCTCATCTTCTTCAAAATCTTTTCCTTCTTCCTTCTTCCTTCTTCCCAACTCAGTATCTAAGACTCTGACACTTCCAAATTCAAACTATTTTCCACCTACTGCTTCATATTTCATTTACTTTTAGCAAGCTTTTATTAGGTGAGGACCACAATAACCTTTAAATTAGTTTATGTCATAATCTTCCACATGCCTCTGCTATTCCATATTAATCACTCATTAATTTCGGATTATTTGCTTTTCAACACCATTGTAATTTCCAAAATGACCCTGCAAAAAATTGAAAAGGAAACTTCTCGAGGTCTGACTATGAACACGGAATCCAGTTGTTGGGGTGGCAATTTGTAGCCACCCATGAAACAGGTGTCTTCCTCTCCAATCCCCGTCACTCCCCAAAACCCTAATCCCACCTCCCCCCATAACTGCTATATACACCATAAATCTTCATTACGAAAACTAGCTAGAGCAGATCTCGCATGAACACTCTTAAACAAAGAATACTAAGCCTCAAAGACATCTACCCATTTCCTTTTTTTTTCCTAACTACTTGTTAGTGTTTCGTTTTTGATTATCAATATGGTTAGATTCTGTTTGCTCTGCTTCATACTAGCTGAGATATTGCTTCTCCAAGCTGTAGCTGATAAATCTGTGGGTACAGACACCAGCCAATCTGGGGACATGGGCGGGCTTGCAGATTCCCCTGCACATTCATTTCAAGATGACGCCACAGAGACAGAGGTCGCTCAGGCTCCGGAGATTAGACGGCTGGGAAAGCATCATTCTTGTGATAAGTCGGTGGCCGGTGGGGGAGTCATCATTGGTGGTCTTGTCACTGCCATTTTTGCTGCTGTTTTTACCTACATTAGGGTTACCAGAAAAAGGGATATACAGCAGATATGAATGTCAAGGAGTGATATTTTTCTTCTTTTCGTTTACACAAAAGGGAGATATCAATGATATGTCATATGGGTATTTGAGGGATTTAGTATTACTGTGAATATTAGTTTGAAATTACAACATATTCTTATTGAAAATCTTATTGGCTTTTGTTCTATCCCTCTTTTCTCATATGGGTATTTGAGATATAATGATATGTCGTATGGGTATTTGAGATATGGATGACATATCATATGAGTATTTGAGATATCGATGATATGTCATATGGGTATTTGAGGGATTTAGTATTACTGTGAATAATAATTTGAAATTACAACATATTCTTATTGAAAATCTTATTGGTTTTCACTTTCTCCATAATATATATACTTGAAGCTTTGTTGTTATTTAGTTTATTGTTTTGCTGTATGTATCTGTGACCCCGTATTCATGGAGCATTATTATATGACAAACCAACAGATTCTGGAGAAAAGAGTTTTCTTCACGATTCTTCCCAATCTTGCCCTGCATATATATTCACAAAACTAACTCTTTCTCTTCATTTATGATTTGTTTGATCAAATCAAATATGGGTTCTTGTCCGTCAAACTGGTGGCAGGCGCCGGTATACTTCACCGTCTCAGTTGTGTTGGCTTTCTTTGCCATCTCCACAGCCCTGCATTCACTTCCCAGAAACTCAATCACTCAGCAGATCAATCACCCACTCTTATTGAATGCCTCTAAAGCTCTTAGACGATCTGGATTCAACTTCTTTGCCACTTTTCTTGAAATCTCCCCTCAAATCTTCCTTTCTTCTCCAAACATTACCATTTTCGCCATTCAAGATTCCGTCATCTTCAACACCTCTCTTCCCCCTCCTTTCTTGAAACTTCTCCTCCAATACCACACCTCCACTCTTACCCTTCCCTTCAACGATCTCCTCAATAAACCTCATCTTCGTTGTTTTCCTACCCTTCATGGTCACAAGAATCTTGCAGTCACCAAGGTTGATACCAAACAGAGGCTTGTGGAGATCAACCATGTTCTTGTTTCACACCCTGATATATTTCTTGAACCATTCTTTTCCATTCATGGTGTTGATGCCCCATTTTCCTCACTTGATCCTCAAGATTTCCATCTGGGTTGGGATTATATACAACCTCCCACATGTGTTTCAAATTTTAGTTTGGTTCAATCCAACAACACCACTAGTGTTGAATGGAGGCGGATTATTCAAGTTCTGAGCTCCAAAGGATTTGTTTCCTTTGCAATCGGATTGCATTCCGGGAATCTTGAATTGGAAAGGCTCAAATTGAAGACCGCCACAGTCTTTGCTCCCCCAGATTTTGCCTTTATTGCATCTTCGTCTCCGTTGCTTCACAAGATTGTGAGACTCCATATACTGCCTCGGAGGTTTACATACAAGGAACTTGCTTCACTGCCGGACAAAGCATTGCTAAACACACTGGTTACTGATCATCATCTTGAGATAAAGGGAGGTGTCAAATTTAGGCAAGGATTAAGCATTAATGGGATCGAAATTCTGAATCCTGATGTAGCCTCCTCCACAAACTTCGTAATTCATGGTATTTCCCGATCGTTGGAGATGACCGAGCTTCCAAATGCCTCAATATGAAATGGATTTGGAGCTTGCTTCTTAATTCAATATTACTTGTATTGTTTCCTCAACTCATTTCAGCTAATACTTTTACTATTTTTTTTTTTTCTCAAAATGAAAAATCTTCTACTATTTTCATTGGATTGGTTGTTTGGATATGTATGCGAGAAGTCCTCCCACATCCAATTTCATATATAAGCTGAAAATTATGAAAGAGCCTTAGGCTCAATGGTAACTCCTCCCCACCAAGTATGGTCGGTTGGGATCAATTCCCTTTATTAACGAAATTTGATCTTGTCGAATGCCATGATTTCTGTCTATTTAAAATTGGTTGTGCTAAATATATTTCATAACACGATATTTAAGAAAGTTAGAGTTGATCCCATCACCTCATACCATTTCAGCTTATGCTCAAGTTGGTTTGTTTGAATTTGTTTGACAGGAGGGTGACTTTATTAGTAGCAGTGGGCATATAGATGATGTATTTGTTAACACAAAACTTATTGGATTGCATGTAAAGAATGTGGAAAAGTAGAGTTAGCGTGCTTAGTCTTTGATAGAACTGTCAACAAAGATGTTGCTTGGTATGCCATTAATGTAGCGACAAGCCACTAATAAAGATTTTCCAAGTATTTTTGTAGAAGAAACAATTACTCTATACATATTACCAAGTACATGCACAACATTTAATTCCATAACAATAGCTCACATCGAATTAATTTCAGATCAGATCAATGGCAAACAAAACCATGAGATATCATCCAATAAAGAACATAAAAAAGACCTAGTGAGATGCTCCAACTCTCACTATTATCCTGGTCATTTTAGTTCCGGTTAATGTAACATTTGCTACATCAACAAACTTGGATTTCTTAAATAGTCCTACGATTTCCCTCACTTCCTCCTCACCACACTCCTCCACAGCAACCACGCATACTCCGTCCCTCCGCACAGTTCGCTCCATTTCTGCTGCAAACCTTGCTGGAAACAACGCCTCTGCTAAATGCCCACTATATGAAAAATCAAAGACACGGTCAAAGAAGGGCAGATTATGGGGGTCAGCCCTGCTCACCAGAGGTGGTGAATCGACCAACTCAACGCCAGTAACATCAACAAGGCCCATCTGGAACAAGGCCATTACCTCGTGGCCAGCACCAGCAGAGACACAGAGCGCTTTAGAGTGATTGTGGAGGAGACCCATGTGGCGGATTTGGAGGAATAAAGAAGTGTAAGAGGAAACTTGATTCTGCCATGACCTCGAGGACCAGAGCCGGGCATTTTTCTTTTCCAAGGGGAGGTGTTGGCGAGGAGAAAAGTCACAGGTTGATGTGGGAAATTTCAGGTGGGGCTTTTCAGCTGAGTTTGATGGGATGCAGGTTTTTGGGGTTTGCAGGACGAGGAATAGGAAGATGATTGTGGCTACGGTAATTGATGCCACCGATACCCGGTTTAGCAATCTCTGTACATGCCTCTCCATTTTGGCTTTGTCACGAGCTGCACTAGGAAAGAAGTCAGCCTAATGCCAACAAGAACTGTAATAAGCCTGTGGTTTCACCTATGCAAATGTTAGTTGAGAACATGTAATTATTTTAGAATATTTAGCTCAACTCATAAAGAAAAACCAATAAAACTCTGTGGAGCATTCCAGAAGGACATAGAACTTTACAAGGAAAAAGTCGAATTACAGGCAGCTGGATGCACAAGGAAAATGATGCCAAAGGAAAAGTGTAGTTCGAGAAAATACTTAGTCAATTTGCTAGTTAGGTTATCTGAAGAGAAGACAAAAAGGTGGGTGTTAAACTTAGTGAGCGAATGTCAAACAAGGTAAGAATATTTCCAGGTGTACCTCATGCATACTAGTGCAATAAGGATAATTAAAGAATACAATTATGAATTATGGGGAACAGGAAAATCTCCAGGGATCATTTGGGATAGATGTCCTAGGTTTATGCATTGTAACTGCTCATAAAGTATTCATATGCAATGTTCGTATATTACGATAGCCCATGCAGCTTCAATATGCATCTTACATACTCATACATCATTATTGTACGAGTATATGTCAATGCTAAAATATGGAAAACATCATGTAATACAATATGAACGCATAATTCATATGAATCCACTTGGGGCCAAAGAGAGCCCTGTTCTATCTGGCTCAGACCACCATCAAAGGGGTATGGTGAAACTAGCTCTGATGGGCTCCACCCACCTTCCCCATGCATATTTCGGATAATGTATATGCAATATGAATGCACGTGGATTTACATAGAGCCCAGCTCTATTGAGCTCAACCCAATAACTACATGGTCATGGTGAGCCTAACTCCAGCATCTATAGGACTACAGCAAGCACTAGCTCCAGCCGCCCCAATCCATGTGTATGCTGAATGATGCATATGCAACATGAATGCAGAAACTCATGATCAAGTTAGATACAAAATCCCCTTACTAAGTCCGAACAAGCTACTAATGATCAACTCAGACACAATTTTGATGGAAGGAAGACTAAGAAATTCATGATGCGAAGGGCACTGGAACGAAAGTTAGATGGATATAACAACCATTAGAAAATACAAGGGAAAGCCTCTTAAATAGTATGAGACAAATACTAGAAAATACAAGGCCTGAAGAACAGGGGCCTTAAATGGTCAATTTGAAAAATCGTTGAACCTAGAGACCTAGCCAGTTCCAAGATAAGAAGTCTGATAACAGCAGATAGGATATATACTCCCTGCAGTACTCAAACCACTTTGGTATATAAGAAAACATGAAAGGTGTATACCAAATTGTAAACGCACACAAACAAGACATCATCCAAACATGCATTGATCAATAAGCATTAGAATGTAAATAATTCCAGAACATCATCCAAAGAACACCCATGAAACAAACTAACAAAGTGATGAATAGGCAATCATGAAATCCATTTCTCATTAATCATCAAACTCTTTTTAGCATATGGAGATTAACACAATAAATTTTGAAAGAAAAATGGATTAGACTATACCCAAAGCCAAGACCTTCCCTTGTTCCCCTTCCCTCTGCCTCTCGTTGTCGACCTCGTGTACCCTCTGCTGTTGGTTCTCCGGATTTTCTCCTCAAAATCCCCTCTCGAAGCTCTCCCTTCCCTTGCTCCCCTTGTCTCTGCCTCTCGCTATTGATCTCGTGTACCCTAGGCTTTCCCTAAAAAACTCTCCTTTTCTCCTCCCTTTCTCCTTCGATCTCCACTTCAAGGAATCTGGGAATTTCTCTTTCCCTCTCTCAGTTTCTCTTCCCTTCCGAAAGCACCCTATTTCCCTCTAATTCCACGCTGATTCTTCCTCGAAGATCCGTCCGCCTCCCCAAACAGAAAGTTCCCTTTTTTTTTGGGTCTCGAAGGAAAATACTCCCTGCTAATCCCTTAACCGCAACAGTTGCTGATCATCTCTAGGTGTTGCAGATCACGCTTCTGGTTGTACCAATTCTGCTCTTCTTGCTTCAGCAACCTTAGGTGGATCATATTCGTTCGCGGGCAGCCGAAACAGAGCTCAGGTTTGTTGTCTTGGTCAACAGTTCACTGTCCTTGGGCATCCCCGGCTACATGCAAGCCTTGTCGTGCTGTCGTTCGTCTGTTTGCAGCCTTCTACTCCGTCTGATTCGTGCTGTCGTTAGTCATGTATTTTCTTCTCCTCCTCCTCCTTTTCAAGGGACACACAGGTGGAATGCAATAAACAATTGATCAAGGATTGAATTGAGGGTGATTCACTGTGGACAGTACTACAAAGTGCCTGTAAGGAGACAAGTGCAAGGAGATTAAAATGGAATCGGGAGCAAAGTTGGACACAGGGGGTGAGAATGTTATTTAATTTATAATGTTTGCAGTTGAACAAAAAAATGAAAAGTAAAGACATGATAGACGTTCAACATAAAATTGTTAAATTGTCCACAGCAGGGTTCGAACCCGTCACCCCGAAGCCCAGCACTCACAAAAGCCAAGGAAAATGGATTGAACCCCAGATGATTAGCTACTGCAAAGAAGTAGTTGACTTGATCAAACGGTCTTTAATTAAACGAGAAAAAAAAAATTAAGAATGTTTCTCTTTTCTCATGTCATCATCTCTGGAACACACACACACACACACAGACACATATATATAAGCAAGAAGAAATCATAGATCTTTTGGAATATGGAACAGGACCACTCTGGTTTGCTCCAGAGTTACTCTCAACGACCACTCAGCTGAGTCTGAAAATAGTAAAATAATATATATATATGGAATATTTGCATGTTGTGGCCCTGAGGTTGTGTGTCCTATATGTCTTGACTAGGTATCTACCATATGATTTCCGGCTAACATGTACTAATTAGTTATATAATTTGATTTGTTTAATTGTCAATGCATCGTGATTAAGCAGTCAGCCTAATCAATTTGCTGAGATTATGACCCCCCCGTTGATTTGTCAATGTGGGTTGTTTTGATCACATAAGAAGACAGCTTCTGAACAGTCCTTTCATTTCATTTTACTATTGTGGCTGCTGAGAGGTCTGCTTCTTTTGGACCCAGCTGGCAACATTATTAGCTGATTACTGCATTGTTGGACGCTCAAATTCTAAATCCCTTCGTTTCTTTCCCCAATTTGCAGAATGTCAAATGAAAGAAGACGGTCAAGCTTCGGAAATCATCTGCTATTCCTGGTCTTGATAATTGGTTCTACATATTTCGTGTGCTTTGCTCGACATACCATAGCAGCAGTAACTGAGTTGCTTATAGATGACTCAGGAGACACTCTTGTTTCAGTTGGAGAGATGTTTGAACTTGGCTTCTTTACATCTGGAAATGGGAATTCCCCAAATACATATGTTGGGATATGGTATTACAGATCAAACCCTCAAGTATTTATATGGGTTGCTAACAGAGACAATCCACTTTTAGAACCTGGCGGAGTTTTTGCTATTAAAGATGGGAACCTTGAGGTGCTGGATAGAAATGAAACTTCTTACTGGTCCACTGGTCTGGCTTCATCATTATCAACTGACCAAGAAGTGGAGCTCATAGATTCCGGTAACTTGATACTAAGAGACGCCAAGTCCAGGACTATTCTATGGCAGAGTTTTGAGCATCCAACTGATACTTTTCTTGCAGGGATGAAGATGGACGAAAACCTCAAGTTGACTTCATGGGCCAGTCCTGATAATCCGTCAACAGGGAATTTCACATTCAAGTCAGAAGGAGAAGACAACCAGTTTATCATTTCACAAAAGCTAGTCACATACTGGAGAAATGGTGAGATAGGTAATTCTTTCAGCTCAGATGAAATGCCAACAACCATATCCTACTTCTTGTCGAATTTCAGCAACAAACCAAAGGTTAATAACTCCAAGAAAGTTCTTCCTATATCTTTACCGCAATACAAGAATACAAGGTTAGTGATGAGTTTTACTGGCGAGATACAGTTTTGGTCATGGAACAAAGATAAAATGGAGGGATTTTCTTGGTCTCTAATTTGGTTGGAGCCTGCAGACAAGTGCGGTATATCAAAGTTTTGTGGAGATTTTGGCAGCTGCAATAACAACAATATATTGAAATGTAAATGTCTACCTGGGTTTGTGCCTCGCTCACCTGATAAATGGAAATCTCGAGATTTCTCAGATGGGTGCACCCAAAAGTCCACGGCATGTGGTGACACTTTTCTTGGCTTACCCAACATGAAAGTGAGGAAGCCAGACACACAAACTATGACCCAGAATGAATCAGAATGCAGAAAGGAGTGCCTTAATGACTGTAAGTGCCTGGCCTACTCATATGTCACCACTGACAACACAAGAGGAGACGTCAATGCTTCTACTTCCTTCTGTTGGGCTTGGACAGAGGACATCTACAATCTTCAAGAACAATATACAAACAATGGCCTTCACCTCTACATCCGGGTGCTCACTTCAGATATAAGTATTTTTCTGTTGAATAGCTTAGTTTCAGTAGTAAAGATTTTTTCAAAATTAGTTCCAAATAAATAAGATATTTTTAAAAAAGACTATAAGATAATAATTGAATAAATTTTGTTCAAAATTTTAGCTAATATTTTTAAAATTTTCAATTGTAACAGTTCAGATATTGGATATTAAAAATAGAAAATTAATTATTATTTTTATATAAATAACTAGTCTCGAATGAAGAAAAATATATTTAAATTTCATCCCAAATCTTTCTCTCTTATTGTTGTTTGGTATGATGTTTTTAACCAACATTTTCTTTTTCATAATGCTCACTGCTACATCACCCTCTTCTTTATATTACAAGAACTTAATTTTAACCTATAGCAGTTTATTGTGTTATACTTCACAGAATCCACAAGAAAAAATTGTGAGACGTGTGGCACAAGTATAGTACCTTATCCCCTGAGCACTGGGCCACACTGTGGCGATCCCATGTATAACAGCTTCCAGTGTGACAATTCCTCAGGGGAGGTCAGATTTCGAGCACCCAGTGGCACCTATCCAGTCACTGTAATCAATCCTGACACACGAAGTTTTATAATACAAACCCATGATGCAGATAATTGTGGTGCAAGAAATTCAAGAGACACATTGCTGCAGCTTAATGAATCTTTACCTTTCCGAGTGACCAGCTGGTGTGTTGCTGATCTAATTAATTCCCTTTCTGATACGTCATCTAAATGGACAAGGGAAATAGAGATTTCTTGGGCACCGCCAGGAGAGCCAACCTGCAGTTCTTCTGAAGGCTGCATGGACTGGCCAAACACATTTTGCAACAAAGCAGATGATGGACAGAGAAGGTGCCTTTGCAGGACACCATTTCTATGGAATTCCTCAGCTATGAATTGTACTCATGGTGAGGATGCTATATATTATACATTCAAGATGATGGCAAAGAACTCAAAATCATAAGTGAATAGATGAAGCCAAATCACTAGTAGTTTTTTTGGAACATGGAATTTGTTGATTCATCACCTTTTCTTTTTCCTCTTCATTCAGCGAGATCTATCCTTTTTCTCTCTTTGTAGAATTTGACATCAACGTTGAGCAAGGAGCAAGTATACCTCCTTCGGAACAAAGTCAGTCGCTGGTTACAATACTTGTGGCAACTCTATTAAGTTTCTTGGTGGTTTCATGCGTGATTTTTATTTACTTGTGGAGACGGAAAAAATCTGGACAACAACGTAAGTATTCTCAAAACTTGCAAGAATGCATCAATTCAAGAAGCCTTGTACAAGTATCTTACTGGTAATATGTTTAAATTCTTGTTAACTCAGACAACAGCGAAAATGCTCAAAGACAAGCAGCAATTCAGTTGTATGACAGCGAGAAACGTGTTAAAGAAATGATGGGTTCAGGCCAATTTAGTGAAGAAGATAAGAAAGGTATAGATTTACCCTTCTTTGATTTTCTCGACATACTCACTGCTACGGACAATTTCTCAGAAGCAAATAAGCTTGGCAAGGGAGGTTTTGGACCTGTTTACAAGGTATACATTAATCTACATCCAAGTCTAACTTATTCTGGGTATAGAAGCTACCTTCATGGAACCTAGTATGTATATCTCTCAGGGTTATTTTCCAGGAGGTCAAGAAATAGCCGTGAAAAGACTGTCAAGTTTGTCAGGGCAAGGCTTGGAGGAGTTTAAGAATGAGATTGTGTTAATTGCTAGACTTCAACATCGGAATCTTGTGAGACTTTTGGGCTACTGTGTAAGGGGAGATGAAAAAATTCTGCTATACGAATACATGCCTAACAAAAGCTTAGACTTTTTCTTGTTTGGTTGGTGTCTAAACCTTGCTAATCATTATCCATGCAATTGCAAGATTGATAAGTAATTAACATTCTGTGATGTATGGTTTTGAATGGAAATTACAATAGATGAATCACGAAGCGTGATGTTGGACTGGGAAATGCGGTTTAACATCATATTGGGAATATGTCGAGGACTAGTTTACCTGCATCAAGATTCAAGATTGAGAGTTATTCATAGAGATCTAAAGGCTAGCAACATTCTACTGGATTCAGAGATGAATCCAAAAATATCTGACTTTGGGTTGGCCAGGATTTTTGAAGGCAAACAAACAGAAGGTGCCACAAACAAAGTTGTGGGAACTTAGTAAGTAGACTTGTTTTACAATATATATTTAATTGTTGAGACAGATGAGTTAATGGTTAGTTGTAATGAGATGGCAGTGGTTATATGTCTCCGGAGTATGCACTAGAAGGAGTTTTCTCAATAAAGTCGGATGTTTTCAGCTTTGGTGTGGTTATACTTGAGATTATCAGTGGAAAAAAGAACACAGGATTTTATCAGTCCGAAAAGGCCCTAAACCTTTTAGGTTATGTAAGTACTCTTAAGAATTCATTACATATACTATTACATTATATATATGTTTATGTAGCTGCTTTTACTGATAAGGAATATATAATTGTGATGGTGTACCAGGCATGGAAAATGTGGCAGGAAGACAAGGTGTTGGATATAATGGAGGAGAGAATTCGTTTAAGTTGCAAAAACACTTCTGAAATTTTAAAGTGCATAAATATAGGGCTGTTATGTGTAGAAGAGGACCCAAGTGAGCGTCCAAACATGTCAACTGTTATGACCATGCTCAGCAGTGAAGCTACATTTCTTCCACCACCAAGACAACCAGCTTTCGTGCTAAGACAACGCCTTTCCACTACAGCTTCTAGTTCTAGCAAACCAGATTCAAACACTCCATTAACAGATACCATTTTACACGGTCGATAACTTCACACCTTTATTAATTGTCAACTTTCCTTTTTATTTTTTTATTCTCTTTTCTCACTCAGAACAAATGTAATTTAGATCAGGTGGCTTCAGATTGGGTATGCTGTTATGTTTGATCCAAATTGGGTATTTTAGGTTTCATCGTTAGTCAAAAGAAGCATCAATTGCATTGCTCATTGCTATTGCCATATTTGTTTATATATGGTGCGGGAGAAGCTCTAGAGAGTTACTTACAGCGTAGGCAGCAGAATTCACAAGCAATTTACAAGTATATTATTGGACGCTGACAACTTCTCCCAAGCTAACAAACTGTCCTGTTTATAAATTAAAAGTTTCAATATTTGCGTTTAGATGATAAATCATTAATGTGCGGTATGCTAATTCACTGAATTTGTTTTGTTTGAATTACTTCTAAATAAATGACATGGTTGGTTGTGTGATTTTTAATTGTAAATTATTTTTTAATTTTTTTCAGATTTTTTAAATCACCGATTCGGCGATTTTTAATTATTGAATAATTTTCTTTCCGTTTTACCCTCACAATTATTTATTAATTCTTGTTTTACTTTTAAGTCCAAATTCTGTTTTTCTCAAATTAAATATTAAAAAATTAAAATTTTATTTTTCATAATAAATTTATTTTTTTAATATTTTTAAAAAAATTATTAAAAATTACAGTTTAAATAATTTTACAAATCAAATAATTTAATTACAATTTAAATAATTTTTTTTTCTTATATTTTTTCATTTAATATTACATATAATAAAACAGAGATAAATTAGTAATTTAATTGGAATACACAATCATACCATCATATCAATCCAGACAAAACAGTTGTCATTACTATACATTAATATATAATTTTTTAAAACATAATATAACTTCGTAATGATCATCATGTGCAATTAATAAACATTACCGCACATTAATTACACATAAAAAAAAAACAACCAAACACAGCATGAGAGTTTAGCCTTCATGAAATCAAACAATTCTTAAGAAATTCTTAATTCTTAATACTGTTTGTGTCAAGTACTCCCTTGTTGGAATTTTCTAGTAAAGAAATGCTTATATGTAAACTTGGGTTAGATTTCATTTGGTTGCACCAAAAAAAGTAAACTACCAATATAATATAAAAAAAGAATTTTACATTGCAAAAGCTTTAGACTACCGAGTGATTTTTTGATCGATGTATTTTGTTAAATATTACAATTTCTTTTCCCTATTAACATTCTTAATTTATTTTCTCTTTTGACATCCTAATTTATTTTTATCATGAAATATATTCAAATAGTTTCTCTAATAAATCCAACTTTCGGTCTCTAAATTTGCAAGAAAATGATATTTTCACCGTAGAAGTCTTCTACCATGCAATATATTCAAATATTGAAAACAAGAAAAATATGAAAATACCTCTAGCTCCGTCGGAGAAAAACGCTCGCCGCCGCATCCCGTGTGAGAGAATGAGAATGAGAATGAGAACGAGTGGCTTTTATACCTTGGTTGGACGGGCGGATATATATGTGGTTTAATGAACGCCGGGTTTTGACTCTCGGGCCACCCATGGATTTGGGCTTTGCTTAAATGCAATCCTAATGCCCAGAGGCTCTCTCAAACCCAATAATTTACTTGTTCTTTTAACAACAAAATTTGGTTGACGGGATGACATAAAGAAGTAACAAGAAGGCTTTGAAAGAGTCGTTGGGTTTCAAGTTATAGAAGTAATTTGTGTTTCCTGGCAAAAGAATAGGTAAAAGACGACAGAAAGCTCTTAATTTATTAATTAATCATTCGAAGAAGATAGCAATTGTAAAGTCAAAAGGGGACAAAAGGATTCTGTTAATTAATAAAACAGACCCTTGAGGTTATGGGAAACATGAACAACTTCTGGGAAATAGATGGGTAATTGCACCCCTTGCCCCCATCAATCCACCTTACCTGGTTCCTTGCTGTCTTCTAATAAACATTTTAACAAACACCTCACCTGCAAGCAACCTTCCCCTCTCTCCTTCCGAGAAGAATCTCATTCTCTCTCCACACATATAAATATATATTGGTTTACGCACATATGCTCGCAAAGATATCTCTCTCTCCAGGATCTACTTTCCGAGGGAAGCGCACACGTAATCGTAAGTTTAAGGAGAACTAATGGCTGCCGGGTTCGATAAGATGACGGGCCGTTTCGAGGATCTGTTGCCGGTGATGGCGGAAAATCTAGGTGGGGAGGGGCTGATCAGAGAGCTCTGCAATGGGTTCGAGCTGCTGATGGATAAAGACAAAGGGGTAATCACCGTGGAGAGCTTGAAAAACAACTCCGCAATGCTGGGGTTACAGGATTTGAGGGATGATGAGTTAGCCAGCATGGTGATGGAAGGTGATCTTGACGGCGATGGAGCTCTCAATCAGATGGAGTTTTGCGTTCTGATGTTCAGATTGAGTCCTCGTTTAATGGAGGAATCTCAGTTATGGCTTGACCAGCTTCTCCTCCACAATGCTGAATTTTGATCGCACCCCTTCTTTTTTCTTTCTTTCTTTCTTTCTTTCTTTTGCAGAATTTGATTGTTTGTAAATCATTCTATAAGTAACTGGTTTGACCATCTACTTTCTTCAATGTTTTGTTCATGATCAATCCCAAGGAAGAACAAACAGAATTTACGATCGACCATCTCATGTTTGTCTTCTTGGTTTTCTTGTTCATCAAATTTGTTAGACTAATTCTTGGAATGCAGAGAGAGATGGAATAATTTTATGCTATATGAAATATCCAGGAAGCTTAACATTTGAGGAGGAGGTGAGGTTCAGTGAATTGGGAACGTGCATGCAAAATTATATTAAATATTAATTCGGTGCCCAATTTAATTTATTATTTGTACAAACAATAAATTATGTTGTTTAAAATAAATATTGTAATTGGGTAGAAATTTTTTATTTTTTATTTCTTTGATACAACATTGTTGAATAAAATAAATTAATTTATTAATCTTAATGATCGATATAAAATATATTTTCATATTAAAAATGTAATTTAAGTTCTTGAATTTAATATATAAAGTGTGATTCAAGAAATTAAATCGAAAAAAGAAAAATCACAATGACATAAAGAAGAAGATAAACAAATTGTAAATCAAGAATAAATTTATTTAGATTTATTTACCTTCTATAAAATTTAAGATACATCAAAAAAATTTTCTTTGAAAAATTTCTTTATAAGTATTATTGTTTCTAAAGTTAATTTGTTATTATTTTTAAAAAGATAAGTTCGTGAAAAATAATTCTTAAATTTTTAAATAAATTTTATATGTTGGAGATACTTTAAAAGTAAAAAAATTTAAGAAAATATTTATTTGTGTGATTAACAGGTGTGATTATTTTTTTTGTACGTAGGTCATCGATGGTGAATATGACGAGAGTTAAAATAAAATTTCTATGTGATGGAATTCGGTCATGGTCTGTTTTTACTCTGAAACTAAAAGATTCGAAAGAGAAATCATAAATCAACTCAAGAAGATAACGAAGTGATGAATTTTATTTATAGATATTGTAATTATCATTTAAGGTATTGATAAATAGAAATTTATGTTTATCTTTTTCACATCAGTTATCTGAAAAACTTATATAAAAATATCATATCAACATTCATTCTCTTTTGAGTAATTATAAAATACTATAGGGTATTAGATTGATATATATATATATATATATCATCATCTAGTCTGTAGTGGTAATCAATATGAAGCTAATTCAGTCATAAGATTTCAATGATGCAGGGAACAAAGATTTTAAGAAATCCTTGATTCATACAACCAGGAATAATTAATTCAGCTTGAATGAAATCTTGGCATTAGAAGAAGCCCAAGAAAACCCCATCATCTGAGACCTGATCTTTTGTCTTCGTAGAGAATCCCTGAAATTGCAGTGTCCAATACAAAGAGTCATCTCCTGTAAAGCCTTTCCATGCTTGAGCAAAAACTTTGCAAGAATTACTTCATTCTCACAGTCCAAGAATCCATGGATCTTTACTACGTTCAAATGGTTTAAGAAGGCCTTCAAACTTTGAGTTTCAGACTCCCAATATTGTTCTACATCCGTCGTTGACATCTCCCATAAGTCCTTATTCCATTGCTGCACGACATGCTCATCAAAACCCAGATAATATTTCATCATTTACTTCCTTAAACTATTATATATATATATATATATATATACCCAGTTCATAAAAAGTAAGTTTAATTACTTACCCGCCTTTCAATCTTGTAATCGTTGATAATCTTGAGAACCAGAGTGTGAAGCGTGGGGGAGCATCTGAATAGGCATGCTAGTCCCGGGATATTATGTCTGTTGAAACCCGTATGCAGCTCGAGAAATTTAAGATTTTTAAAAGAATGAACAAGATGCCCAAAATAATTCTTGTTTGATAGGATCTGCCAATGCCCAAGAAAGATTTGTTTGAGATATTCACAGTTCGGATATATACATATATGTATATATAAGTAATTAGTTACTGTTTGGAAAAAAAAAAAATATATATATATATATATACCTCAATGCAATGTCTTTCAATGGTTAATGAACGTGCATGCATTAATCCTGATAAAAGACTAGAGACACAATGGAGTTTTTCCGTAGTTACATCTTCATGAAGCACGAATAAACCAATGGATGCCTCTTCCAAACCCATCAAATTCTCCAGACAACTAATAGCTGTTACTGCATTATACTCCCAGATAATTACCTTCAACCTCGGCGCATTGATCTTCACCCAGTTCTTATCACCATAAGCATCAAAACAGCTAGCAACTTTCAATCTCTCCACTTTTTTACCCCAAACATCTAACCCATGAAGCTGAAAGCAGTTCTCTAACGTTAAATCTTCAAGCGCCCGGCACCCGATCTTGAGTTGTTTCAGCCCGAAGCAAGCGTCCAGATTCATTTTCTTTAAGAGAGGAAAGGAGGATTCTGTGAACAAGTCGTCTAAACAAGGCTGGTTATATAAAATGACAAGAGATAAAGAGAGTGTTTGGAGGAAGCGGAACCCACCCACCATGACTGATGAAGGAGGTAAACGAAAACCGGGATATCGGGATTTCAAATGAAAAACCCTTAAAGAATCACTGGAGATTAAGCATCGTGGGAAGTTGAAGTAATCATCAGTGGCAACTTCAACGTCGAGTTCTTGAACTTTTTGCCTGATGGCTCTACGGACTAAAGCGTTTAGATGAGAGAAACTTAGAGGAGCTCGAAACCGGAGGATTCTTATATCGGAATGCTTGTCTCGGAGGGATAAGACATGGGTGATCAAGTCCATACCTTGAGTTGGTAAACAACATTGTGATGATTTTATCAGTGGATTTACAGTGGTGAAATCCAGGTCAGGGAAGGAGGACCAGAGAGATCTCCAACGTTTTGATAAAACGCTGGTTTTTGCTATCGTTTTAATGGGGAGAAGAAACAGAATTTGCTGTAAAACCACATCAGGAAGATCGCTTATCCTGTCCATTCCGTCGTCCTCCTCCTTTTCTTCTGTAAACAAAAGCTTCTTTCTCTTAGCAGATCTTGTTTCCATGGCAGCTGTCTTCTTCTCATCTCTCTATTCCTTTTTCTTTGATGCGCTTTCTTCTTAAGATCCATTTAGATTGGGGTTTGAACTTTTCAAAAGAGTGAAGTGAGATGAGTACGAGAAGAGCGTTTGGATTTGTTTCAAAACAGAACTAAATTTCTTCTTCTTTTTTTAAAAAACAAAATTATATTGCTTCATATTAATCAACACATATTCTTATTATCAAATTTAATTAATCAAAATTTTTAGAGAAAACTTATATAAACCATTTAATTAAAATGTTTCATATTTTGTTCTAATTAAATTTTCAGTTGACTTGAAAAAGAAATTATAATATTTATTTTAATTAAATATTTGTCTTACATATATATATATAAATATTGTTTTTTTTAAAGTTTTAAATAAAACCTAACTAAATTATTTGACTAAAATGTAGTTTTGTTAGTTTTGAGTATAGTTAAATTCTATAATAAGTTTTCATCAAATTTTTATGTTATTTATAGTTATATAGGGGGAATTTTATAATAAAATAAATAATATATATAGATCTATTCAAATTTTTAGTTGGGTTCAAAAGAGAATTTAAAACATTTATTTGAGTTAAAATAATAAACTCCCTTATATACTATATAAAACTTTGTGTTATTTTTTCATTCAAAATTCTTCTCGCACTTTTATAAAGGAAACAGTATTCACGCTTTCTATTATATTCAACTAATAACTTTTTGAGATTATTGAAATAATAAATAATAGGTAATTGACTTTTTATATAATTTAAATTTATCGAAATTTAAATTTACCGATAAAGTCAGCAATACATTAATACCTGTATTAGTAAATTTTTTTACCTTTCTTTCTTTTATCCGAGCAAGCCATTTTAAGCAAATTAATAAATAAATTTAACATCAATCATCTGGTCTCCATAAAAAAAAAAAAAAAAATCACTGAAAAAACTTAAAGTCAACTTTAAAATTTCTTATGTACATTTTTATGAAATTCTTATCTTTTAAAATGATAAAAATTCGACAAGCAAAATATAAAAAATTACGAAATATGACCAAATATTGGCTTTAGATCCACTGTAGCATTTTTTCCTTAAAATCTCTCGCATTTTGTGGACTTATGTTCTGCATTGAGTATGCAGAAGTTTGCCATTTTAGGGTTATTTGGCAACGCCGATAACCTAAAATCGAAAACTTTCATGTCTCTGTTATTGTCCAATAAGAGATTCTCTACCTATAAACTTTCTCTCTTATTACTTACCTCGATGTTCTCTTTGTTAATTTTTTGCTTGCTTTGTGTGCGTGTGCATTTTTTTATTATTAAAGATTACAGTAGAATCTTATTTATATATAAATTTTGACGTATTTCATTAAAATTAATTTAAATTACGCTAAATCAGATTGAATTATTTTTTATTAACTACATGCCATATCGAGTTTATTTTTTTGAAAAAAAAAATGTTTGACCTCATTTTCGTTTTATATGTACTCAGACTTAGTTCTATATGTGTATAATATTTAATATATTTTTAAGAATCTTCAACTAAAATTATAAAATATAACTATTTAAACTTATATAACCCTCAGCCCAAACTATTCTACTCTTCCTCAACACAACCGCCACCAAGACTCTTCGTGATTCTCCTCTTTCAAACTTCAAGAGCTTCAGCATATGTTAAGAACTTTTAACTTGATAGTTATTAAAGTGTTTAATTAAATTTTAATTTCAATCAGGAGGTTATTAAACGTTATTATTCACTTCAGTTAAAAAAGTTAATTTAATTAATAATTTTAATCACTTGTAATTAATAATTTAATTAAAAATGTAATTGGAATCTCATTCGGGTCGGTTACACGGAAGTAGAGGCCCGACGAGTCCGGGTCTCGCAAATAATGTGAGCCCATGGAGGCGGTAAGTCGCGTGTCTAATTTTCCAGTGTTTCTTATAAATCAAATTAAATAATTGCGTCATTAATAATTTATTTTTTAAAAAAAAAATAAAAAAATAAAAAACCTTGGGCAGGGGGTAATTTCAGTCGAAGTCGAGGTTTTCCTTCCGAACAGCACAATTTGTGTGACTGGATTTTCGGTTATCCTGAATTACTTGTGAGTGAAAAAAATTATCTGGAGGGAGAAAATTCGGATGGAAGTGAAAAGAGTTCTTACAATTTGAATCAAGATCTCTGTGATTTTTCCGATCATTAGCCGAAACGATCAGTCGAAAGTTGGAGTAGATTTTTGAATTTAAGAGGAAGATGAGGAGTTGCGAGCTTTGCGGCCGCCTCGCAAGAGCGTACTGTGAATCCGACGAGGCAAGTTTGTGTTGGGAGTGTGATGAGAAGGTTCATGGAGCTAACTTCCTGGTGGCGAGACACTCGCGGATTCTTCTCTGCCATGTCTGTCAGTCTCTTACTCCTTGGAATGCTTCCGGTTCTAAGCTCGCTCGCGCGATTTCCATCTGTGAGAACTGTACGCACGAAGATGATGGTGTAGATGGCGAAGCGACGGAGACAGAGAATGATGATGATGAGATCACTACGGAAGATGATAGCGAGCAGAAAGAAGGGGAAGATGGAGAGAATCAAGTGGTTCCATCGCCTGCAACCACAACCACACCACCTGCTGCGAGCTCTTCCAGTAGTGATTGACTCCACGATCACTAGATTTTCACTTAACCAAACAGTTTCAGCGACTTCAGATCCTCCTTCTCAGGTATGTAAAATTTTCCTCTGCTTTGATATTCTTTCACTTTACTTCGTTGTGTTTTTTTGTTTTCCCTCAAAAGCAACGAAACACGAAGTTCCTGTAACACTTGAAGCTTATTTTCCTCCGTTTTACTTCCAAATGGTTCCTTATATTCCACTATCTCCTCTTAATTTATTTCTCATTGATTTTCTCTGGCTGTTAATTGTTTCGCTTCCTAATGATGATTTGCTTTTGAATTTCTTTGAAGTTTATGGATCTTGATGTGATTTCATTCTCTGACTTATTTTTATTCTGTAGTCTAATTTATGGATCTTAATACTTATATTCCTTCATCAGAGTTTAGTAGGTGATTTCAACCGTTCATAATATCCAGTGAAGTACATTTCATAGTCGGCGACTCAGGGGAGTTGGTGCAGGCATGGCGGTGAAAACCGTGAAGTAATATTTTGTTGATCCACAATTTTGCGGAAGCTATTCAAACCATGCTTGAAGTTGATTTGGAGGGTTCACCAGCCAACTACAGTCAAGAATCTTGATCCTTCGAGGTACTGTTGTCGTCGGACTTGATGGTCCATAGATATTTCATTGACAATTTACTTGTTCTAACAAATCACAGGCAGCAATTGATCTATGATTACATATTACCTTCACTTTTAACATTGTAAAATTGATCAGACTTCATTTTTTTTCCTCCAAAGTCCTGATAATTTTTCTTTGAACAAATGAAGATAGTTGGGTTTTGTTAGTCGTTACTGCGGCGTATTTCATGCGTGGTTTGGTAATGGAGTCGGTTATACCCCGAATTGGGTAATGAATAATGATTACTGGGTTGTCTAGATAAAAAAATCTGTGAGCGTTTATGACCTCCACCAAGAGTTTATTATAAACAAATTTTATCAGATAATATTATTTAAAACTTACATGTTCCATGGAAGGTGGTCGCCCATCACATCAACTGATCTGGGTAATGCAGACTTTGTTCTGCGTATTTTTGCTGAATAATACAGTTATATATATATATATATATTCTGATTTAGTTTCTTTTTAATCTTATATCATTCATTTTTTGTGTATCATATTAGGATTATATTAAAAAGATATTGTAGTTTCATTTTAAAGAAGTTGAACTAAAATCAATTCTAGAAATCAATGCTATGCTTTGATGGGTATGAGTAATTAAACTCTATTGCAAATTTAGAAACTTACTTTTTGTCATTTCATGGTTAATCGAGAGACAAACTTGAGGCTGTGGTTGAGACTGACAAATAGAGGAGGGAGGGAGAGGAGACGTTTGGTGCCCACATTTTGTCTCCTTAAAACAAATAAACACAGATGTAGCCTAGCGTATATAGTTTATATTCCTTTTTATTATACCATACATGGGGAAAAAATGAGCCATACGTTTATAATAATGTTGACTGGATTGTTTGAAATGAAAAAAGAATGGCTCGGGAGAAAAGAAAAGAAAAAAAAAAAAAGAAAGATATTTTAAAAAGAGGAAAGTGTTTGGTTGTGGTGGAGATTTTGTTGATTTCAATTTTATTTGTGTGGTGATGATTGTGTGTGGGCCGTAGGAAATATCTTATGAGGTCCTTCCTTCATCTTAGGACTCTCCCAACATTTTCTAATACTACTTACCACTACCTGACAGTGACTTTTATTAATACCATAAGTCTTCTGTTGTGTTACCTTGTAGTGTTTTTTTCTAAAGCAATATCCAACATGTATAAATTGGTAACTTATGGACTAAGCCACAATTGAGTCAAAAACTGGGTGAATTTATAATTTTTTATAATTTACTCTTATGAATGCTCAATATTATATTGTTGAAATATATATTAAAAAAATAAAATACTCTCATGAATTTCATATGCTTTGAATATAACACTAAATTTAAATGTAAAATCATGAGAGTATTTTTACTTAAAACTTTACAGAGTTATAAATTTAAGATACAAAAGTTTGATGGGTATTTATCTACACCGAAAATTATTCTCCTGAATTTCATATGGTTTTAATACAAAAATAAATTATATTTTAATTTGTGTTACATATATGATGGTACTTTAAATAATTTTTTTTTATAGTCGTATTAAAATAACACAATTTGTAATTGATTAAATTATTATTTTAATTAAAATTTTATAGATAATTGGTATATATATTTTGATTAGGTTGTGAAGTAATCAACTGAAATCTTTTAATTAAATTATAAAACTAAGTGTATAACTCATTAAGAATATATATATATTAAATTTCAAAAAAATATTTAAAAAAACAAAAAAAAAATACCATTTGGAAATTTCTAATTTTCATTTATATTTTGTTATTCTTTTTTTCTCTAAAATAATTTCCACTAATTCTTATTTCTAAATGGGCTTGTGTAAGAGCTATTGGGCTTCTCTGGCTATTCATCAAATGGCCATTGGATTAACTTTGGGCCTGAAATAAATAGTATAAAACAAATTTAATTATTACAAAAATAAATAAATAAAACAGCCAACACAAAAATAAACTCCTCATACCGATTTAATTGTTTCACAAAATAAATTTAATAGAATTAGTACAAAAATAGATAGTATAAAAACTAGATGTGTGTTTTTATTTTTATATAAAATTGAAAAAAATCTCAGTAAATCATTATTAACTTGGGTTTTTAAAAATATTTACTAATATTCTTATTACAATTATTATATAAATAAAAAGAAAAATAAAGGTTGAGAAAAGCAGGTTTCCTTAGTAAGACTTAAGAGTTGTAGCAGCTAAAAAGGCAAGCAAACATGGAACAAGATGCGTTCTTTTCTCTAATCTACTCTTTCCTTCCACATTCCTCCGCTGTATTTTGTGGACAACAAATTTCTTACCTTTTTTTTTTTTTGAAAGTTTCGTGAAACAATTAACCAAAAAATAAATAAAATCAGCCACCCAAATTCCAAGAATCAGAATCCTAAACCATATTTTACTACCCACTACGATTTTTCTTTCCTCTTATACATATTCCCTTCATAAAACAGATTCTTTGTTTTTATTATTTATTATTATTTTTTGTTAAAGTTCTGAAATTTGCATGCGATGCAAATCAAACCCAATAAGAAAAGGATTAGGGTTAGCGTTTAAGCCTGGTCATCTCGCCGTTGGTTCAAAGCTTTTGTATTTTTACATATAAAAATTTCATAAAAGTCCGCCTAGCTTGCTCAATAGTTACCTCAAACTCAATCTGGCTACAGACAGGTAACTTTCCTCTGTCTTTTCTCCTCCACCCACCTCGCGTTTTTCCTCTCTTTTCAATATTTATCTACCCTTTCTCTTCACTTTTATTTATTTGGTTTTATCTGTTGATCTTAGTTCCGCTGCAAATAAAACACCATTTTGTAGTTTTTAATATGTTGCACGGTAGGTTTTTTCTTTTCTTTGTCTCCCTTCCATTATCTCTTCAATTTTTTCATAGTTGATTAATATTTTCTCTGATGGGTAATCTGTTTTCTTCGATTTTGTCTTTGATTTTTCCTTAGTTATTAATATTTTCTCTGATGTGTAATCTGTTTTCTTCGATTTTGTCTTTGATTTTTCCATTGTTATTATTTTTATGATATGGATGTTTCTGGATTCGTACCAGATTTGATTGGATAGAGTTGCTTCTTGAATTTATTAAGATTCGTGTATTGTTAAGATAAAGTTTTGTTTTTCCTCGAATGTTTCTTCTTTTAATTATTCTTGGCGGTTAATCTATATTTAATGTGTTGATAGGGTTTATATCCATAGGTTGGAACGGAGAATTTGTTGTCATTGTCTTATTTCCTTTTCCACGATGTGGGTCAATGCCTCAAATTTTTCCTTTTCTTTCATTTTTAAGAGAATGATTTCTAGTTAAGCTTGACAAAGTTGAATAAAGACTGGAACATCAGTAGGGTTAAGGAGAAAGTGACAGATTAAATTTAGGATGTAATCATGAATTTTTGATATTTCTTTCTCCTTCTCTCCGAATTCTCCACATTCAGATGTTTCTGCCTGCTGCTAAATTCACTAGTTTCTTCCATTTTTGGGTTGGTTTTGCAACCAAAGACAGCCGTTATCCGTATGCTTGCATGTATGTGCATTTTGAAAATACTACGAAAAATATTGGGATGACAGATCTAAGATCAACATCTCTCAATTTGAGCTAGATCCAACGATGACAAGAACACACTGAGTTACCATGAGCCATGCCTGCACCTGATCCTTGCATATTTGTTTCGATGTTCATAAGCCGTTTCCTTTATAAACAGAAACAAAGGTGAAAAAAAAAAGAGAAACTAAGTCACATTAAACATAACTGGGTAGAGAGGGGTGTAGTAGGAAATTAACAAAAAGCAGATAGATTCTCTGGTTCCGGCTAGGGAATCAGGGGTTCATAGCGAGTGATTTGAGAAAGGGGCAAAGTTCTTGAGGGTTCTGAGAGGAGAAAACGGAGGCCAAGTGTAAGAGACCATAGGAAGAAGAAGATTGGAAACTTAAAATTTCAAAAAAGGAGGAAAAGAGATCTATTGAAGAAGGGGAATCCTCAGAGTCGTTCAGAGAGAAAGGAGAAGTTTTTTGACAAACTGAGGAGAGAATTGAGAGTTTCTGAGGGATTCCTTTCTCTTCTAATAAATATCCAAAATGGTATCTAATCGTCGATTGGTTATCTAAAGAAGGAATTTCTTGTGTAGAATTTACTGGTAAAACCTCCATTCTTTTGTTTTGGGTACTGTGGAATTTTTCTTTATTCAGAAAATGTAGAATGCTGAAACAGTTTCTGATTTCTTGCAATAGACTATTTGAATATGTTTATATGCTTCTGCATGCTTGAGGATATGGAATAGAAGGTCGGATGGAGGAAAGTTAGTATCTTGAATATGCTTATGACCTTCTTGCCAAAATACCTCAGAGAATAATGATTTATTTTTGAGTTTGACTAGCTCATGAGGATACTGCCTCATGCATGTGTTCCATCTGCTTGGTTTAATTTCTTTCCATGCTTGCTTGTGGAGTTTTTGTTAAGATATGTCTTGATTTTGCACTATTAAATACCAGTAAACTTTCTAGATGCTACGATTGTTTATTTTGGGATCCTTCTAAAGTTGCTATATATACATATATATTTACTTTGCTAGCAAAACTGCATGATTTAGAACTGTGTGAGATTTGGGTTGTATTAGGGCCTGAGATTTGAGAGAGAGAGAGATTCATATATGATTTTTAAAATTTTTCTAAGTTAATCCAATATCCGTACCTATTATATTAGGCGTGACACCAGTAAATCTTGTGTCATTTGCTTTTTTTAATTAAATTTTGTGTCTTTTGTTTTTTTTACTCAACAACTACTCGATTAAGTCACTCAGTCGCATATAGAGTTTGATTACGTTTACAGTTGTGTACCTTTCCTAGGCTAGGTTGACTCTCCTTTATCTTACCTCCGTATATCTGCCTGACCGGTGGGCTAGTGTTTAGGCACCTTTTGTGTGGCAAGTTAGAATTCTCTTGGTTAGGATTATGCCTACACAGTCTTAAACTCATAAACACCTTATTGTTATATCCGTGTCAAACTAGAAAAATAAAATTAAAAGGTCAAGGCTGTAGAACTGGGTAGGCATACTTCTCCTTTGCTGTAAGAGTTTGAGTTCATTAGATCATAATGCTTGAACTTGCATTTTATCCATAGTTGTAAACTAGGCACTCTGTGCAGCGACTAATACAGCTTTAGTAATCAGTTGATAAGGATGTTTGTGAATGTGGGTTTCTAATGTTGAAAATTTTTTGTATACCAGAAGTAAGATTTGATTGGACAAAGTTGCACATTGAATTAGTAGGATATTATTGTTACAATTAAGTTAAATTTGTCCCGTGAATGAGTTTGATTATGCTTTTTGATTAATCTATAATTTATTGGGTTGGTTGTGTTCATATCAATAGGTTGAATCTTAGAATTTGTTTTGTCATTGTGCAGTTTCATTTTTAACGATATGGGTTTATTTTTTAGATCAATGCCCCATTCGTTTTCTTGTTTTCATTTTGAGAGACCATTTCTACTTAATCTTGAGAAGTTTGAAGAAGATATTGAGAAGTTGTGGAAAAAAGGAGTACAATAGGGCTGAGGAAGAAACTCATAACTTTATGGCAGACTGAATTGAGGACACAAATTATGAATTTCTGGTTTTCCTTTAACTCTTCTTCAGATTCTCCACCATATGCAGTTTTTTTTCATGCTGCCAAAATTACTAGTTGCTTCTGTTTAGTCTTGTGTTTTTGCAATGAATTACCTCTGCTACACATATAAACATATTGATGTGGAACCCGGGATTAACAACACAAATCAAAACCCTGCATATACATCAACAACCAAAAACTCAAAACCCTAAGTAAACCTCCTTACTTGACCCGCACTCAACATGGAAGTGAAAACTAAGTTTATAGGGAAAGAAACAAAGAATTAGAATTGAAAAGACGTCATGAGACTTATCTCGATAAGCAATTCCAATTTCTAGCGTAAAAAGTCAGTCGAAAATCCACTCATTCACTTTTGAAAGTTTGAAAGCTTAAAACAAGAATATCTGGATTTTATCATTGTAAAATTTTTGAATGCCTACAACTCTCAATTAAAGGCCTATTTATAGTGTAGGCCATGTAAATAATAAGAAAAACAATGTACTAAATTAATGGCAAAATTCCATAAGAAAATAAATATAAAGTAGAATAGAAAAACTAGCAAAATTAAGATGATTGCTTTCTAGAATAGGATAGATATGATCTCTTTTTAAATAGACAATATCTTAATTAATTATGGAGATGATTGATGGAAAAATTAAGAAAGATTATGACCAGCTTGGGAAAGGATTGACTGCTTTCATAATCTCCCCAAAATCCATGAGATTCAATCTCCCATCAAGGCGTGAGGTTTGTTTTCCTCTTTCTCTTGATCTCCCATGCGGTTTAGGAAGAAAATCCACTCCTTTGCTGATTCCTCTCATGAAGAAATTCTTTTCCTTTCCTTGCTCATATCACATATGTACATGCATTTTGAAAATTCTTGGAATGATACTTTATGAAACTTAAAAAAGGGAATTTCTTTGTGCATTTTGTATAAGCTTTTTTCTTTGTTTTCTGGCATGAAATGCTTCCTCTTTGTGGGAAAGGTTGATTATGCATGAGGAAAAAAAGGATAAGTTAGCAGGCAGCATAGGTTGATATTGCTTTACATTTGTTGATCGATTGAATATTCTTCTTGATCAGCCCCCAATCATGATTTTGTTATATCAATTCATTGTTTGATTTAAAGTGGAAATGACTAAATTAACACTCTATTACCTTTGATCCCTTTTCCCTTAACTTTTCAGGCCAGAATCTCTTATGCATGTTTGCAATTGGGTTCACTTAATTGGAAAAGTTTTTCCACTCTGGCAGCTACAGCAAAGTCAAACTCTTCTCGCACCTCTAAGAGGGTGTGGGGTGACAACGAGGGAGTGATTGCACTTTGTGTTTTGAGAAGATCGAGATCATCACACATTTGGAGGTTGTGCCGTGTTTCAGAGGGTCTGTCACTTGACTATGGCTAAGGACAATGTTGTGTGAAAACCCTGGAAGCTTGATGGTATCTTGTCCTTACGTGTTAACCGAGTCTTTGTTTCAGGCTTCTGGACCTTGATGTGAAGAATTGTTTATCCCGCTTACTCTTTGTTTCTTTTTTTTGGCATAACATAAAAAATAGCTTGTGTGGATGTAGCTCTGGTCTGCATTAGCACAATGGTTAGGTTTTCATGCTTCAATGGTCATATCCACTGCCACAAACCAAAGGTAAGCGTAATAATTGCCTGCAGTTTGTTGTTTCTTAAAGTTCTGGATGCTTTTTTGACTCAATTTCTTTTTCCATCAGAAAACTGTCCAACATTCTGTTGAAGCCATGCAAAAAACTTCTGAAGATTTTTCTCAAGTTCAAGACCCTAAGAGCTTGAACTCATCCTTCCTCAAGGCTGGAGATTCTCAGATCGGTTACGCTGCAAAGCTTGCAAGTTTAGATTCTGTTCAGCATGGCTGGAAATCCGAGGAAATAAAAGGCAAATTCTATTTGGAGGGTGACATTGGGGTTAATCAAATAACATGCATCAAGAAAAGTCAGTCCCTGGGAAGTGAACTATATCGGGAAGGGAAAGCTCCTCGTGAAAATGATGTGGACAATGTGACAGATCAAGGATTTTCTTCCGAGTCTAATGAGCAAAATGACAGATCAAGAATTTGCTTGGATGGCAGCAAGTATCCAGGGGAGAGTCCATCTACTCAGTATCAAATGGTTCCAACCTTAGAATCTGGTTTTGATTTAAGTCCTGACCGAGTAAATAATGAATGTATTTTCTCAGTTGGAGATGCTCAACATTCTGAAAAGGAAAGCTGTCAGTATTCTGATTCTCCATTAGCTGGTGACCATGCAAATGACCCTGGGAACCATGCACCTCATACTCGATCAGTGATGGTGAAATCATGTTCTATGCCAAATATTGTTGATACTGTACCTGGTTCTCAAGGACCATCTTGTTTTTCTTACCTGTCACCTAAGGCAAGATCTGCTGATGATCTTCATGTTCTAGACCTGCACCGGAGGGAGAACTCAGTTCATGAAATTGAGATAGAGGTGAGGCAAAAACAAGGAAGAGGTGATATCATACCTAACTCTGGAAAAAATCATTTTGAAAATTTTATAGATGATGGTTATGATCCTTATGATTACTCAGCTTTAGTTAAAGACTGGATCGTGCCAGTTTCAGAAGAAATAGGCTCTGGAAAAAATCAAGGAGAGTCTTCATTCCAGAAGGGGGATGAATTGTCTAGCAAGGACTTCAAGATTAAGAGAATAGAGGAGTGGGTTAATGATCTTCAACATTGCACTGCGCTGGTGGAAACAACTGAATTACCAGATGAAAATGTTCAGGTTAAGCGAGAACCCATTGTCTTGAATGGTTCCACCACTACTAAAGGGGATATGAAGACAACTCCTGGTATGGAAGCTGCCAAAAAGTATATATCTTCTTTGAGTGCCTCAGCCTCCATAGCGCAGCTTGCCAATCATGGCTTGGTTGTGATCCCTTTCCTCAGTGCTTTTGTAAGCCTGAGGGTGCTCAATCTATCAGGAAACTCCATAGGTTGGTAATCTGGCAGAAGCTTTTTCTATGGTTCTTAATTAGTTAAGCTATTTGCTTTGTTTTCAACATACTTATTTATTTGTAGCAGCAGGTTTAACCAAACTTGGTTTGGTAGTATTATATAAAAATGAAGTAATGCATATTCTATTAGTCTTGGTTTATAAGTAGTTATCTGTTCTCTTTTTCAGCAAGAATAACTGCTGGTGCTCTTCCTCGAGGCTTACACATGTTGAACCTGTCAAAAAACAATATATCCACCATTGAGGGTTTACGTGAACTGACTCGACTTCGTGTATTGGACCTGAGCTACAACCGAATTTTTAGAATCGGTCATGGTATGTGATATGTAATGTATGTTTGTTTTTATATTCTCTCTAGAAAGTTATCTTTTTTTTTACACCTCTACCCCTATACGCCAAACTTTGTGGCTTTTAATTTCCTTATGCAAAATTTCTTTTGTAATAGGTTTGGCTTCTTGTTCATCTCTGAAGGAGTTATACTTGGCTGGAAACAAAATTAGCGAAGTAGAGGGCCTTCATCGTCTTTTAAAATTGGCTGTTCTTGATCTACGTTTCAACAAAATCTCTACCGCAAAATGTCTAGGTCAACTTGCTGCAAACTACAACTCCCTGCAGGCCATCAGCTTGGAAGGAAACCCAGCCCAGAAGAATGTTGGAGATGAGCAACTGAAGAAGTATTTACAGGGACTCCTTCCCCATCTGACTTACTATAACCGGCAGCCCATTAAAACCAACACCCTGAAGGATGTGACAGAGCGATCTGTTCGGCTAGGCATCAGCAGCCATCAGTTTGATCGCAGCCTTAGGTCAGAAATCAAGGCTGCAAGGAAAAGTAGCTATGGTGTGGCTGTCCGCAGACCATCACCATCTTCTGCAACTCATGGTCGTAAAACCCAGGCGTTGGATTTCCCAAAAAGGTCCAAGGGCAGGCATGGACATGGGCGCCTTCCTCCTAGTGGAAATAGAGCAACTGCTGATCACCACCACCACTATTTTGACTTCAGTAGCAAAATCCAGAACTTGAGGTCAGAGCTATCCATTCGCAGGAGCCGAAGTGAGGGAACTTTGGGGGCACCCTGAGATGATTTGATTTGCTTTATGCAGTTTGGTTTATTCTGGTTTAGTAGTTGGTTTTCTTTGGCAATAACAATAATTTGTTTTTTTTGGTTTTGTTGAAGTAGATTCCCAGACTAGTATCTCTTTGATTTCTTTTTTCGTTGTGTTGTCTGCAGTATGCTTATCCTCCATGGTGTTATTGGAAAACAATTGTAAGCCAATGTGGAATAAATCCTTTTGAAGCTTCTCTAACTCTTTAAGTTTGATCGTTCTTTAACTTTCTGGGAAGTTGATCATTTGGAAATTTTTTCCCCTTCCAAATCGAGATACTCTCTTTCCCCATGGAGGCAGGTGAATTTTTGTCTTTGCCAAAATGTGTTTGATTCCATTTTCCAGCAAACTTGTGGCAAATTTTTAAGGAAAAAAAAAACCTTTTTCTCCTACATATTTCTCCCATAACTAATCACATTTTGTTTTGTATTTTAAACATAAGCTATCATACATATGGTTCAAATTGAGATCACCAATGTGGAGGTGACCGGCACTACCTGTCCGACCAAACGTCGATGATTAACCAATCAGTTTTATAATTAAAATGAGAAGGTTACAATTATGTTCTTGTCGTACACAAGTTTGGAGACCATACAGATTTTAATGTACAACAATGCACGAATACTGCAGATGCACACAATTCACAATAAAAGAAACCACTACGAACTCCACTTTACAAATGTTCATCACCCAAACTGAATTTCTTTGCCTTCTTAAACTTGTTTCCCAGCCTTCAGCTTTTGCCTTCTTACTCTAAGTTGATCATGTTCTCCACAGGATTGATGTAGGGAAACCATTTCAGTTCTTTAGCTAATAATAAAAAATATACCAGTTTATACAGCAAAGCAAATTGGAACTGTAACATAACCAGAATTCGTAAAGTACCTGAAGTCAGGAATAGCTTGCCACTGCTTTAAGCATCCACGGGCATCTACTGTAAACAAATGAAACTGGTAAGATGGAAATACTAGACAACATCTCAGAAAAAGTTAGCAGTAAACTTTTAAACCCTTCTCATGTATGAAAAAAACAAGAAGATAATCATAACCCATGACTCCATGATGTTTTAATTACCCAAAACTGTTGTAAAATAAGATTGTGACCTCCATAAATGTAACAATAATCTATGAGGGAAGCATAAGTATTTAGATGCTAAGGCACACAGATTACCTTCTACTTCATACAACCTATGGAATAACGTACACCAACAACTTAACTTTTCATGGTTGACACATCATTGAGATTGAATTTAAATAGAGCGAGCCTTTGCAACTGCCTTCTAAATTTTCTTTCTGAGTATTTTTTTTCTCTAGATAAGCTTATTAACATATTTTAACAAGTGGCTAAGTCACATCCAAAACTAAACTCCCACTCAGTACTAATAGGAAAATAACCAGTGAGCTAAGGCTCATTAAGAGAATGTATATGGAACCTTGATTGTTTATTTACATGGAGCTAGTGAAATTCATTTTCTTTTTCGGCATCACAGGACTGTACAGAACCTCAATAAAATATTTAAGACATGGCAGCAGTACGGCTTGAAGAATTAAAGAAACACTTAAGAATCCTTTCTCAGACACAGGATTAATTAAGCAGTTGGGCTGCATCTCTCTCCTACCATCCCACCCTTCTATCCAACGCTGGTGTTGATGTTCTAGTTAATGGTGAAGTGGATGACAGTTCATCCCACCACATTGATGGGTGGTCAAGGTCACAATACACTTTTTCCTTTCTTTGTAAGGCTCACATGACATGCTAAAGGTCCAAGTACAATGAATCCAATCATCTACTTTACCAGCACATAATTCACATGCTGCTACCCAATTCACTCCGGGGAAAATTTAGGACTTTTCAAAACAGACCAACTTTTTCTTTTTTGAAATAAAAGCACAAAACAAAACAACTCTTAAAAGATTGAAGTTTTTATCATCCAGAAATCGTGTAATCCAACAGCTTAGATACCCAGAATTCAGATAAAGCAACAATTACATATCAGTAATTCACCAACATCAATATGCTAATTCAGCAAAAAATTAGAAAGCTCCCAGCAAAAATTCGCATCATTGAAGCCATCAACACTTGTGTATAATCTAAACAGGCTTGAATCTTTTGAATATGTAAACAGGCTTGAGTATTTAAATAGAAGTAAAGAAATAAATAAACATTAGAACAAAAGCAAAACTCACTTTGAACAGCTCTAATCCTCAGCGTCATGATACTCCTGCTCTTCCTCGGGCAAGGGATGGAGCTCCGCGTCCTCGCCAACTAGTGTTGAGGCAACCTCGGAAGAACCCCGACGGCCATCCTTGTCCTCGGAAGACCTGACCACGACGACAGGGCAAGCACAGTGTTGGACGCAGTAGTCGCTGACGCTACCAAGCCGGCCAAGCTTAGAGCTAATCCTGACAGCACCAAAACCCCTACTCCCCATTATCATCGCGCTCAACCCTAACCTCTCGACCTCCAAACACAACCTCTCCTTCATATCATGATCCTTGACAATATGTATCTTGAACGGAATCTGCGCGTCCACCAGCGGCTGCGCTAGCGTATTAGCCTTCGTCGTCGTGAAGTTATCGAAGTCATCCTCAAGCCTCTGATTCCTCTCATGTTCATCAGCAGTTGTTGCGGTGGAATCGTCATGATTACGATTGCTGTTGTTATTGATCTCAAGCTGGATAGCACCCCAGTCGGCTCCGTAGAGGACGCTGGTAGGGCGAACGTGGAGGAGGATAACAGCGTCTCCGGGGCGGAGATAGTTCTGTACGGTCCATCGGACGGCGTAGGCGCTCTCGTCGCTTAGATCGACAGCGATCGCTATTCGCCTCTGAGCTCCGGAAGTTGGAGTCAGCGTGGTGAGTGAAATAGATGGGGAGGAAGGCATGAGACGAATTGGCGGCGGCGCCGGAACTGGAAGGTCCGGTTCCGATGAGGAGTTTTGGTTCATGGAAATAATAGAAAGTAGTTCTGGGTTGTGGGAATTGCCTGAGGAGTTGACTTGAAAATGAAGGGGATGGAGGGAAGTCAATGTTTTATAGCGGGTTGCTTTTAAGGCCCAAACCCAATTGATTCAACAAGCCCAAGCCCAAAACCTTTTTTTGAGGATAATATTATTTATGACGTTTGAGGTGACGTAATAAAATGTATTATTTAAATAAATATAAAATGTGGGGAAAAAACAAACTATAAAAGAAAAAGTCAAGCAAGAAAAGTTTGGTTGACTCGTAGGAGTCTTTAGCTTCTCTTTGGGGGTTGGCATTATTGTACAACCATTTTTGACTGTTTCTCCCTCTTCAGTCTCCTCTTGTCTCTGTTTCTTACATTTTTTCTTGGTATATATATAGTATATTAATTATTTGTTCAGTGACATATCTACCCTGTAAAATCAGTTGAGTTTTACCCTGTGATGAGCCATGGATACCAGAAACAATCCATGGTTGGTGCTTGAATGTGTTCTCTTCCTCTGTTTCTCTCTAAACTCTCATGTGTCTTATGGAGCTGATACGATCTCTGGTAACCAGTCTCTCTCCGGCGACCAAACTATTGTCTCTGTCGGCGGCATCTTCGAACTGGGTTTCTTCAGACCAGGTAACTCCTCAAAGTACTATATAGGCATGTGGTATAAGAAAATATCAGAGCAGACGATAGTTTGGGTGGCAAACAGAGAAACACCTGTGTCTGATAGATTTTCTTCCGTTTTAAGAATCTCGGATGGTAATTTGGTTCTTTTTAATGAGTCCCAAGTGCCAATTTGGTCAACCAATGTGAACTCTACCGTTCAAGGTGGTAGAGAGGCGGTTTTGCTTGATGAAGGAAATCTGGTTTTGAGAGCTGGGTCTGATTCTTCAAAACCCTTGTGGCAAAGCTTTGATTATCCCACTCATACCTGGCTGCCTGGTGGTAAGATTGGGTTGAACAAACGTAGTGGAGAAAATCAGCTTCTTACTTCATGGAAGAATACTGAAGATCCTGCAACAGGTCTTTTCTCTCTGGAGCTGGACCCAGATGGAAGCAATTCATATTTTATATTGTGGAATAGAACCAAGCAGTATTGGACTAGTGGAGCTTGGAATGGAAGAATCTTCAGCTTGGTTCCTGAAATGAGATCCAATTATATCTATAACTTCAGCTTTGTGACCAACGAGAATGAGAGCTATTTTACCTACTCTCTTTACGATTCTTCGACCATTTCTCGATTTGTTATGGACGTCTCAGGTCAAATCAAGCAGCTTTCATGGTTGGAGAGTACAAAGCAATGGAACTTGTTCTGGTCTCAACCCAGGCAACAATGTGAGGTCTATGCTTTTTGTGGATCATTTGGCAGCTGCAGTGAGAAATCTCCTCCTTTCTGTACTTGTTTGACTGGTTTCGAACCAAGATCGAAGAAAGACTGGGACTTGGCAGATTATTCTGGTGGTTGTAAGAGGAAAACCAGTCTGCAATGTTCAAATGCTAGCCTTGCTAATGGAAAAAGAGATGGGTTTTTAGAAGATGTCAACGTGGATTTGCCTGAAGATCCTCAAACTGTTGTAGCAGGAAGCCTTGAGCAATGTGAATCAACCTGCTTGAATAACTGTTCTTGCGAAGCTTATGCTTATGAAGGCGGCCAGTGTTCGATTTGGACTGGAGGTCTCTTGAATTTGCAACAACTTGCAGAAAACAACAGTAAAGGAAGAACTCTCAACATCAGGCTTGCAGCTTCAGAGTTATCGAGTCATAAAAATAATAGAAAAGTTGCGGTTATTGCTGCTGTCGTTGGCTCTGTGGTGATAGTAGCTATTCTAAGTATTTTAATGTTGGTATGCTTGATGCGAAGAAGGTCAAGTATGAAAACAGCGAAAGCAATGGAGGGTTCGCTCACGGCCTTTGCATTCAGAGATTTACAAAGCGCAACCAAAAACTTCTCTGAGAAATTGGGGGGAGGGGGTTTTGGTTCTGTCTTCAAAGGAACCTTACCTGATTCTTCTGTCATAGCTGTGAAGAAGCTTGAGAGCATAAGCCAAGGTGAGAAGCAATTCCGAACAGAAGTCAGCACAATTGGGACAATCCAACATGTTAATCTTGTTAGGCTGCGTGGATTCTGCTCAGAAGGAACTAGAAAGTTGTTGGTCTATGATTATATGCCAAATGGTTCTTTAGGTTTCCATCTTTTCCGTGGAAAGGATTCAAAAATTTTGGACTGGAAAACAAGATACCAAATTGCACTGGGGACAGCCAGAGGTTTGGCTTATCTACATGATAAGTGCAGAGACTGCATCATTCACTGTGATATAAAGCCAGAGAACATTCTCCTAGATGCTGAACTTTGTCCAAAAGTGGCTGATTTTGGCTTGGCAAAGCTTGTTGGACGTGAGTTCAGCAGGGTCCTGACAACCATGAGAGGGACAAGAGGGTATCTTGCACCAGAGTGGATCTCAGGAGTAGCTATAACAGCGAAAGCTGATGTCTACAGCTACGGTATGACGCTTTTCGAGGTTGTATCAGGGAGGAGAAACTCTGAGCAATCCGAGGATGAGAAATCTAGCTTCTTCCCGACTTTGGCTGCTACCCTGATAACACAAGGGGGTGATGTCCTTTCTCTCTTAGACAGTAGGCTGAATGGAGATGCTGATGCAGAAGAGCTTGAAAGAATTTGTAAGGTAGCTTGTTGGTGCATCCAAGACGACGAAAATCACAGGCCAACTATGAGTCAGGTAGTTCAGATCCTAGAGGGGGTTTTGGTTGTTAACCTCCCTCCAGTTCCCATGTCTCTGCAAGCGTTTCTATACAACGAGGAGCATATCGTCTTCTTCACTGAGTCATCCTCCAACCAGACTTCACAGGGAACAGCTAATTCTTCAACTACCCAGTCTAAGAGCAGTAATACGTAATCAAGAAGTTCATCAATCAGGGAGAAGCCTAAGCAAAACTAGCTCTATACCAATTTGGTCGTCCGTATATGTATATATGTTTTTGCAATTCTTCAAGTGAGGGTATAAAGTTCTACGAAACTCGCTTGCTTGTGTCCAGGTAGCATGTTTTATTTATATGTCAAAAGGATCTTTAATTTCATTTTTGAGATCATACGTCTTTATTCTGTTTGTTTCCCCTTATGCTTATTCAGTTTAACAATATATATTAATATATAGTATGACTTGATTAAATCGTTATGATCATCATACGGCATATTGGCTAATGCCATTTCTGTATTTACAAGCTTTGCTTATTCTGTCATCTCTTACTGTTACAAAATTGAATTCGTTGTATCATAATAGAAAGAAAAGAATTGATCTTTTAAGCTGTATTTTTAGGTTTTGCAGGAAGGAGATATGCTCAATATTATATATACATACATATATATATATTGAGGAAATATATGATCATCAATTTAACCAGGTAGTGTTATAGAAGAGTAAAATTATACTGTTAGAGCTTTATAAACTAAACGAGCATTATATCAGGAACTATTTGAAAGTGAATGTTAATTGGTACTATAAAACGATGAGTAATCTATACAAACTGAAAGATATCTCCTCTTTACATCATATCTCAAGAGATTCTTCTAATTGAAAAAGATGCAAACTAAATTGGACCAGATGTAAAACTAAAACTCCCTTTATTTTCTTCCAAGCTATACATCCTCCTCCTGTTTCCTACAATCTACAAAATAACAGTAGAACACAGGCCTATTTCATTACATTCCTCTTTCAATCTTCCCAAAATTCAGTACAGAGTGTATTAACCCAAATCAACAAAAACTACATCAAGATTCACTCTCTTCGAAGAATTTCACGAGACAGAGCTACTAGTGTTTCCGAGTAACAAAGAACCCATAATCTGGCTGCCGATTAGACACCTTCACATTATTTTTGTAAACTTGTCCTCTGGAAAATAGTAACCCATTTTTCTCCAAAATTTGTACTTGTTCAATGAGAAATTCAGAACTGTTCAAAGGCATAGATTCCTTCAAAGAAGATTTGAGAGGCATCCCTGCATCAAACCAGCACTCACCCTGGCACATAAACAGCATGTCAACTACTTCAGTTGTACCTTTCAGATTAATTGTTCTCCAAATGGATGAATGGTGTTTTAAAAGGTAATTTACGTAAATCTAGCATTGAGATAACCCATTTAAACTTGGACATAAGAATTTAGTATATAATTGCTCTTGTGATTAAGTCCTTCCACGTAATCCTTCCACTACTGATTCGCAATCACTCTGAACAATCTGACACTTAAGTTCAGATTGGTTCGTTTCATATTTCATTTCAATTGATTCCTATACATAATTATTTATATTAATCTTGGAACATAGATGCAAAAAGTAATTTTTATATTTTCAAATGTAAGAATCAGAAATCCCATCCCCAAATATTTGAAGGTTGGGGTAGGGATAGCTCAAACATACAAATCATGTTCTTATCCTCTATTTCAAGACTAGTTTGAATATTCAGTCTAGGAATAGTTAGGAATAGAATAGGAGTTAAAGATTATCTTACTGATATACATTTAAATCAACAGTTCAAGAAAAGATATTTTAGAGACCTATTTCAGACATGATGGAAATACACAGATATGCCTAGACTTAGAAACATCTTTGGTCTTTAGTTACTGATTCAGATTCCAGCTTTTGACTTTTCAACACGAAACATGACAATTATTGTAGAAATATTAGGAGAAAATCTAGCAGAAAAAATATGCAGAAATATTAGGAGAAAATCTAGTAGAAAAAATATGCAGAAATATTAGGAGAAAATCTAGGATTTAGATTTGATATTAAAATGCTAAATAGAGGAAAGTTTCCTACGTCTTTAGAAGTATATTTTCTGTCATATTCTGGGGATTACTGATTTGGTATCCACCCCTGTAAATAATGTAATAGTATAGAAGGAAACTATGAAATAAAATTTACAGCTTTCTTCAATGATGATCTGACAAAGTTAAAGACGACAAACTTCTACCTGTGTGTTGTAGCTCTGAAGTCCTACTACAGGGGGGACAATACAAAATGCTTTCTTCTTAAGAGAATCATCGGAAACACCTCTTTGAACCAAATATCCTAATGAGTGCTAAGTCAAGAATGATGCACGAAACACTCCATCTGGAATCTGATATATTGGATACCATGCCAGTGAAAACCTGAATTGAATCTTCTGGGTTTATTTCAAATTCTATAAATTAAATATAGTGAAAGCTAACAACTTTCAGCACTTACCAAGATGCAGGGTGCAGATCCTGCAGTCTCAGAGATTCTAACTTTGATGGATCGCCAAATACTTGACAATCAGATCTTCCAGCATCAATGAGCTCCACAATTCTGCATTTATCCTTACAAATTATCCCCAAAATCTAGAAAGTAATTGAAACTTGGAGATTAAAATAAACATAGCATAAAATAAAAGAGGACAGGATACTCTTATTACTGTTGACTGGTGTCTGTGGGTAGTTGTAAGGATACAGTCAAAGAAATTTCTTCTTCAATTCATGTGCTGAAACAGCCTATATCAGCATTAGTGACCCTTTAGTAAAATTGCTCTATGTTCCAAGCACAAAGCTAGATTGCAGTGTCAAACACTACGAGCAAACATGTGCCGAGTTTTTATAACAAGGTTAACAATCTTACTACGTTTCATACTACAGCTATTTAACTAATTGCCTACAGTCTATTGATAAGTGCTCAAATATCAAAGCAACATACAGAAAATAGAAAAAAAAAAGTTCTTACTTCAAATGAAGAGGCTTTCTTTGGTGAGGCTGCTTGGATTCAAAAAATTCAAATACGAGCTCGGACTCACCCAGCATGAGAAAACCTCAGATAAAACAAAAGGCTCCTCAAATGAGTGAACTACTTGTTCGTGCATTTCAAGGTTGATTGGTTTTCCATTTCTTCTGCAACAACTAGAAAGATTGCGATAGCCAAACAACTGAACAGCTGAAAGGAGAGGAACAAAATAAGCACGGAATGGCATTGGTTCTTTTAAAAGCTCCTCGAAGTTACGAGAGGTTTTCACTTTAATTTCTGGGCCATAGTTTCCAGGTTCCTCATACCAGTTCCAAACAGCATTGAGAGATACATCAGGTATCTGGTGCTTACAGAGCATCATAGGTGGCTGCTGACTATCCGAGCAAACCACACATCCATTTTCTCCACTCAAAGAACCAATAACTGGAGCAGCGGCAGGAAGGAATTTTTCAAACTCTGCAACTGGATAGCCAGTGACATGCTCAAAGCTCTCAGATGCTAATTGTTCTTTGTAAGCAGCATTTAGAGCTTCTGTAATCATCTCTGAGCCAATCATGTACTGGGAGGAATCTTTTGGTTTTTTTTTATGAGCTATACCATCATCTTCGTGTTTGACAAAATAGACTTCTTTTCTGGCACCCGTAAATTCACATTTTCTCGCTTCACTTTCATCTAAAGTTTATTTGTCACCTGATACCTAGCTGGTACTGTTGGAATCACTTAAAGTAACAGATCCATAGAGTGTAACCTCATTTCCTTTCAAATTGCTATTACTTTTCTCTTTTGACAAAAGTAACGAGCTATTGGGTAGTACATTGCAAGTCCTTATAGAACTAGTCCCTTTACAAGACTCCTTCAAACCAACAGGAACCCACTTCTTTGCACTCACTCAAGGATATACTGTTTTTAACTTTGTATTCATTGCGAACTTTGAATCTTGAGTATAATGGCACGAACTGAAAGGCAGCATCAGGGTTAACGAATGCATGGTTCAGCACTGGTATTTTCACCCAATTGTATTGTGCACGCCAACCACGAACTGGTACCTGAAATCTTCCTGGGTATGGCATATTTTGGTGCCCACATGCAGAAGCAGTAGGATGTGAAAGCAGGCAGTAGGAACTATAGTTTACTATATGCTGGCTCCTGAAGATTGGTCTTCCTGCAGCATCTCTACCCCAGTAATGGTGCTGTTGAAAAGGAACCTGAAATAGTCCCTTTTGAGGAAACACAGGTTTGCCATGGAGCTCAACTACCCTTCGTCCATAAACCACGGGTCCTTTCATGCTAGTATTGTTGTTCCTGTCCATAGATGAATCATTTGATTGCATTTCAATTTTCTCACAGTGTTCTGTTTCCCATCGACCCATTTGATATGACAATGAACTATATGGGGAATGTCTCCCTCGCCTCTGCCAAGGTTTCCACTGAGAATAACCAACATATCTCTTGTGCATTGCTGGATCCTAATTTGAGATCTTTTTTGTTCCATGGGCAGCAGTATTCAGTTTTGAAGAGAAAATCATGGGGTTGGGCAATAGTCCTTCACTTGAAAACGAGTTCTCCTCAACCTTAACATTCATCTTCGTTGAGCTTACTTTCCTCTCCGCATAATTATAAACTGATTTGTTTGCCTTGTGGATCTGCACTTTCCTTGTACTCCTCTGACTTGTTTGCTCCGCCAGGTGACCACTCTCCTTCCCTTTCCATATGTAGGTCTTGTTGCTAATCTTGTTCACCTTAATATGGTGAGATCTTGAGTTTTTGCTTTCTAAATCATTAGTTGATGGTATAGACTCAGCATTTTGTACACTATGAAACTGACCACTGGGTCTAGAATTTGCATTGCCAGTACCTTTTGTATCTTCTTCCCCTTGAATGCCTGTATTTGAATGGTTAATGCAGGCGTTAGCTTTACCACTTGTTGGGATATCCTCCTTTGTTATCTGACAGGATTACATTGCATTAGCTGCCTGAAATTTTGATTGTGTTGTATGAGTCAGATAATTAGGGGCTCCTTTTGCTGGCTTTCTCTCCTTTCCAGTTCTCTTCATTTTCTTCTTTTCCTTATTTGAAATATTCTGAATACCCAAGTTGCTGCCATTCAAATTATCCAGTTAGTTACACAAGGGCATAAATGGATCACTAAGGCCGTTGTAAGGAAGAGGAAAGGATCCAGGATTTACTGATTTTTCATTATGCTTGACATCTGATAATCAACTTATCTTGACTGCTCGTGTACGACTTGAAAACCGAGGGGAGCAATTTAGAATATGGACAGCAACTTTCAGTCTCTATAACCAATCTGCTCAGACAAAAGAAAAATCTGAAAGGAAAGATGCAAGCTTTCAGATAAGAGCGATCCTGGGTTTTGAAAAACACACAAAAAACAGAGATTTAACATCAAGAATACACCTTATTTGTTAAACAAAACAATGAAAAAACATGAGACAGGTTACATGAGTTTAGTAATAGCAAAACCAAGTCAAAAGGCTTGGAAGAAGCAATCATCCAGAGTGTATAAAAACATAAAACATTAGCAATTATTGGTTGGAAGATGAACAATCGCTGACTAAACACAACAAGCATTCACATTAGAATATATGTCCATACTTAACTTGTCTAAAAGTAAAGACCCATATGTATTGTTCCAAAAGACTGAATTAGAATCATTTAAACTGCCAAGAAAGCTCAGAGGAGTAACCAAAGAAATGAAGTTAGATTATCCAGAAGGAAGAAAAATGTCAAGAAAGATTAACCCAGAACTCAATACTTTGTTAAGGAATAAACTTTGAAGACAACCCAAAAGTGTTGGTTCATTTCCTCCAAAAATGATTGAAAAGAAAGCACTAAAGATCAAGGAAAATGGGTCTGATAAGTTTTGTTTTGTTGATCTGATGTATTATTGATATTCAAAAGGCTATTTAAAGCCAAAAATTACAAGAGTTGTAGTTGTACACTGATATACAAATTTGAATAGTAGTGAGAAGCTGACATAGTAGACGATTATGTGCAAATAATATTTATATTTATCCCTAATACTCCCCCTCAAGTTGGAGCGTGAGGATTCTTAACACCCAACTTGCTCAATAATGTATGAAACTGTTAGCGTTCAAGAATGTTGTTAGAGTGAAGTTGCAGCAGAAAAACAAAGACAACTTTATAGAGAACTTCAGTTTTCATTGAATTCAAAACATACATTATATAGATTTAAAATTAACTAACCACTAAATTCATGATCATAAAAATAGAGCATGATCACATGATAAATCAGAAAATAATAAACTCCTAAAAGATAGGAAACACTACTTTGAAATTTTCAAATTTAAACACAAACAGATTTACTGATGTGACAGCCATCCTAAACACCACTTCTAACACTCCTCCTTGTTTAGATGTAGCAAACTCCAAGTTTCTTTCTGATTGTTTCAAACTTACTAACTGGCAGATGGTTGGTAAATACATTGCT